TTGATATATCACATATCCATATTTATTATGAAAAATATTCCCGATAAAGTGGTCACTGCGGCCAAACCCGAGGTCACAGGACAATATAAATTACATATTCGAACTCAGCATTGAATGGGCTTTCATTTCCAATCAACAAATCAAAAATGCCAGGTTAGGCGAATTTCGACCATATCCTTTCTGGTCAGCTGAATAACTTAAGTAACTTATAAAATAGTGTCTAACAAGATGATCTATGCCAAATTTTCAGATTCAATGTTCCATGCTAAATAGGGGAAATCGAGAGATGTCAGTAAATTGTACAACTAATCTAGTTTATAAAATTATAAGCAATCGGTGACATATACATTCTACACATGTAAACTCATTTTATTCTCAATCTGGTCAAAGGTAGCCTATAGCCCATTGGTTATAATGAAAATAGGCTAGTTTTTGACCAGATTGAGAATAAAACAACTGAACTAATATTATTCCTATGGACGGCACTTCACAAGCACATTGTCGTCAATGGACTATCAGATTTCATTCAAAATGTAATTTGTTTAACAGAAAATATTTACATATAAATTAATATGAAACAAAGTACTAAATTAGTGCTGTCCATAATAATAATGTAAACTGTTATGCAACGGATTGATTTTAAACTGGATAAGTTGATATGCTCAACTAGTTTGAGCTAAAGCAGATTATTCTTGTACAATTTACAGACACATCACAATGTTTCCAAGTTTAATATAAAGTTTGTACTACAGTATCATTTACCAAAACTTATACACAAATATACATTGGCTGATAAAGCAACATATCTTATACGGATTAATAAGATAATTATCGAAATTCAAAATACAGGTGAATCTCATTTACATAAACATTTTAATTTAAAAAAGTTTAGCCAAATCATTTGAATAAATATTGAAAGTTGTGCACAATTATACCCCAATGATGATCGAACTCGCGGTCCTGCACCTCGATATACACCCCATTTAACAATTTAGTTACCGTCGTAGCACATAAAAGATGGTTTTAATTTTGACTTTTTTGGCTATCGAGATTCACCTGTATTTTGAAGTTCGATGCTTATCTTATTAATCTGTATAAGAAATAGTGCTTTGATATCAGCTACAATATATTTAGTGTATGAGTCTTGGTTAATGATACTGTAGTTCATTCATTTCCATAGTGTAACACTGGGTGTCATTTGCCTATGTTTTAACATTAGTAAATGACACTATTTGTCACTTTTGAAACTCAGTGTAGTTGTTCAATATTATAGTACAAAATTATTATAAAATACTTTATATTTATTAAATCATATTAATATCTAATAGAATAAATTTTATTGGAAATTGTGAGAATATTAATGAATTTATGGCAAAAATAAAAGCATTATTGGTGTCAATGAGTCTCAATAAGTATCGCAAAAACGGTTCAACAGATTGGAGAGAAAGACCCGAATGTTCGCACATTTTATCACAATTACAGACATTTATGACAAAAATACCCATTATTGGAGACAAAGAATTCAATTCTGTATTGAATACTATTATTGATAGAAACTGTGATATACTTTACAAACTATTTACGAAAAGCAAATTTATTACTCAGGACAATAGTATGTTGTTGATAAATTCATCAAATCATATTGAATGGGACACTTTTGGTAAAAAATATTTATTTGACAAACCTGAAAAATTAAATAAAGCCATAAAATTTAACCAAGGTATTTTTTAAAAACCCTTAATTTTTTTATTGTTATTGTGATCATCTGATTCTATTGAATAATACTCAAATATTTTATTTAATTATTTTAGCAAATCAAAATAATTTTAAAGTATCAACATCAAACACAAAAGAAAACAATTTAAAAGCAAATTTTGATGAAATTGAAAAAATTGATAAAGGACATTTTGGTACAGTATGGAAGGCTAAACATAAATTTGATGGCAATATTTATGCTATCAAAATTGTAGAATTAAAAGGTATATCTTCTAAAAAAATTTTATTACTTTTATATATTAACTATTTTTTAAAATGAATTATTTATTATATTTAGAATTTGATCAAAATGAAAAATCAAAATTATCAAAGGAAACTAATAACTTATCAAAAGTGGACTCAATTTATTGTGTAAAACTTTACGGATATTGGTTTGATTCAAACTTTTATTATATTCAAATGGAGTTGTGTTCCGATAGTCTTAAGAATATTCTCCGACACAAACCACAAGCGTTTGGACGACTATCAGGAGAACCTCTAAATTCATACGAGTATTTCATTTCGTGTGAAATATTCCGAGAGATCTTAGAATGTGTTCAGTATTTGCATGCATTGAAACCACAGATCATTCACAGAGACCTCAAACCAGAAAACATATTAATAACAATAAATCCAGTTGATGGTAGGCATTTAAAGTTAGGTGATTTTGGATTGGCCACAATTCATGATAAAAGCGTTAACAAATTTACCGCAAACAAACTTACATCTGGCGTTGGTACTCCTGGATATATAGCCCCAGAAATATTAGGAGGCAAAGTCTACGATCAAAAATGTGATATTTATAGTTTGGCTGTAATTGGCGAAAATGTTTTTGAGTTTAATTTACAAAAATTTGACGTTGATAGGTATTAAATTTTGTAATTATTCACAATTGTAGACTCAGATATTATTTTTATTACTATCAGTAAAGCACTTTCAAAATCATTGGGAAGAAATATTCCCATAAACTTAAATATATAAACTTAAGAAGATTGATTATGAGTATAGATATGAGTTCAGAAAGTTTATATATGCTACTTAAGTACAACTTTTCTAAACTTGTTATCTATACTCATAATTAAGGCTTTACTTTTAAGTTATTTAACTATTTGTTGCGATACCCAAGAACTTCTTGAGATTAATTATGCATACGAATCATCAATCATTTTAAGAGTTTTATTTTAACTATAAATAACTATTTGATGGGTTTGTAACTATAAGAAAATTTCAGGTTTTTTGATGAAAAGCAGTGAAATTTTACATTTTTAGAACAGATTCTAGTAGATTAGGAGTTTATAATTTATTGAAAACTATAAATTATTATAATTAAATTTATTAAATAAATTTTCTTATATAAAAAATTAACAAATATAGAATAGGTACACATTCTTTATAACATACTGTAGAAAACAATATTTGTGTCTACATTTTGTGACAGTTTTTTGGTAATAATTGAAATATTAAACATAATTTTTGGTTAATAATACAATAATAAGCGATTATTCTTTTTAGTTTACTATTATTTAATGTTTTCTCAAATATAATTCAAAAAAGTAAAAATATACATAGTTTGGATGAAAAATAAATAATTATTTAAGTAAATATTTGACCACTTTTTCTTAACTATGATAGACACTATCAGGTTCATTTTAACTAACTAGAAAGTAAAGCTTTACTCATAATCAATCTTTCTGGCAATATTTAAGTTTATGGGAATATTTCTTCCCAATGATTTTGAAAGTGCTTTATTGATATAGTAAAATTCTGAATAATTACAAAGAGTAAGATTAACTGATTAAAATTATGGGCAATACAATTTATGTGCTATAAATGAAGTTTTCTGTTATATTTATTATCCATATGATAACCGACAAAATATTTTTTTTTTGAAAAAGCATTATGAATCTTTAATTAATATAATTATAAAATTTTACAGGTCTTATTCACAATCAAATCATAATATTAACGGACCAGTATCTCAGTTGCAAAATATATTATTGTCCATGCTGACTTATCCTTTTTCCGTTAAAAGACCGGAATGTAGTGAAGTGTTGACTAAATATAACGAGTGGTCTATCGATAAAAAAATTCTCGCAAATGATCCATCATTTGAATCGACATATAATAGACTTCAAAAGGAATCCGATTCATTTTGGAAGAATTACAAATTGTCATTGATAACAAATCTATTAAATAATAAATATAAAATGAATGAAGGTATCTTGAATTTTTTTTATAAGATGAGGAACAATATTAATCAATACATGATTGTTACAACTTATAGATTTTCAAGAAAAATACCCCCATCTTAATGATTTATTTAAGGCAAATGAAAGATGGGCTAGAGAATTTTACTTATCGAGTATTCACTTGATGCATCATGAGGGCTACATCCAGGTATTTAAGGCAAGGAGTCAAACAGATAAAAAAGAGTATGCAATCAAAACCATAACAATGAAAGGTTAGTTGTAAAAATAAAATGATGATTTTAATAAATATAAAATTAAAAGGTTTTTAATATACCTTTTGACTAAATCTATAATGATTAAAACTAAGTATTTTTTTAATTCGATTTAAAATTAGACTTAATTAAATCTAATTTGTGTTTTCTTTTACTTTTTCATATAATTAATTACTTGTTTTATTTTACTCAAAATAATTTATTGACATTTATATTATTTATAATGTATGATTTATATGTATAATGTATGGGAGTTTAAAAGATTGTCATTTTAACAGTAGTCAGCATTGAAATTAATATTAAATTTATTATCTTACTGAAAATGTTACTCATTGAATCCAAACTGTGAATTTTAAAATTTAAATGATGTAATAGACTTATAAATATAATATAATTTAATATAAATATAATTTTAAGATCCACAGGAACAACTCGACCAAATAAGGGAAGTGTCGATTATGAAGAGTCTAAACAGCGTTCATGTTGTAACAATTAATGACATATGGTGTTCACCGAATACCGCCTACATTATTATGGAATTATGTGATTGCGATCTAAACGTACTAATTGATTCCATGCAAATAATATATAAGTTTGGCGATTGTGTGGAACCCAATGAATTTGAATATTTTATATCATTGAGCATCTTCACTGAGATTGCTCAGGGTGTAAATTACATACATACACAAACACGTCCTATTATTCATAAAGATCTGAAACCAGCGAATATATTAATGGCCAAAGATTGTAGTTTGAAGTTGTCCGATTTTGGGTTGGCAAAGGTCCTAGTTGATAAAGGGTCAATTACGCATACGGCTGGGGCTGGTTCAGAGTGGTTTATAGCACCGGAAGTAAGTATTAGTAGTAATAATCATCATTACAACGAGTCGTGCGATATGTATAGCCTGGGTATGATTGGACAGACAGTTTTTATATGTGATTTGTGAGTATAATTAATCCTATACTAGATTTAAATTTTTAATAATTTAAATAATGAACTAGCTTTTTAATCTTGATAAGTTTGGCGATACCAAATCATAGTGACTCGCAAAGAATTACAGGTTTGCGCGATATAATGAACCAGCTCATTCACCGCATACCTAATAAAAGACCAAAAAGTGTGAAACTGTTGGAAATGTTGAGCAAAATTGACAAAATAGATGATAAGAAAGTTTTGGATGAATACAAAGATTATGAAAATGGTTTAAACAATTCCCATAAATTTCTAAATCAATTTGTATCCATCAGAATTAATAAACTAAAGTAAGTTAATTATTTAAATAATAATAGGGAATTCATGTTTAACTTAAGTATTTGTATAAAAAAATTGTTGTTAATTTTATTTTTATAAAATAATTATTTATCATTTTAATTATGGTTAGATAGAATAAATAATTAATTAAAAATGTGTATTATTACTATTATCATCATCGGGTAAATAAATTGCAATATTTTTTATCTCATACACAAAAGAAACCCACTATACTTATTTAATTATTGAGTAAAAGTGTTATATATTTACAAAATACATTTATTAAATTATCAAATATTAATTGTAAAATTTTATTTAGCGTATTTAATTTAGTAAATTTATTTTAATTATTTAAATGAAAATTTATAGATTAAATACTTATAAAAAGTTTAGTTTTTCTATTTAGAAATTAATTTTTCTCTATTATTATAAATCACGTTTTAAATTCAAAAACAATTTTATAAATAAACATTAATTTCCCGCTGTACAGAATGCACCAGGTTTAATTTACAGTATAATACCGATTGTGTTCCAGACATGCATACTTATTATATTCAAGTCTATTTTGGACTTATGTATTTTCCGACCTCTGAACATGTATATTAATTTCACGTCAAATAAAATTTAATAATTAATTAATATTTTAATAATTTTATTATTAGAGTAGTTTTTAAATAAATGTTTTAATTGGTTATTTATTTTCAATGTAATTCATATAGTTTTAAAATTCAACATATTGCGTGTTACAACATATTACAATATTGTTGCTGAATATATTGAATATTTAAGTTAGCATACAGTATGCATGTATTCAGACATTCATTGGGTGTATGTGTGGACAACAAAATGTATTCAATATTTTATATCAACTATTAATGGATTAAATATTTGCAATAGATATTTATTTAGAAACTTAAAAGTTAGAAAAGTTTCTAAAATCAGTTAAACTAGGTATTTAAAACTCATGTTAACATTTATCATGAATGCGATTAAACCAATTAATTAAGGAATCGTTAAAATGAATAGCTCTTAGAACACATTAAAACACATACAGAATATTCTTAGAGCCCATACACGCTGAGGTTCCGCCACTATAACTATAACTATAACTATCTCAACATCAGTATCATTAGTGGCCGTCACATCCCTGTGCGCACCACAGAGTCGGTGCTCTCAATGGGCAATAGGAAGAGGCAATAAACGCGAGCACACAATGCGTCTACCGGTGCT